GGGAGGAATCCCAGTTGCCCTGCGGGCAAAGGTCTGGTCCGAATGCAGTGGCGCTTCTTCGATGCGGGTACCTGGTTACTACGATGACCTAGTAAAGGGCACCGGTGGCTCGGAACCCGACTCATCGGTCGTCGCCCAAATTGACATGGACATCAACCGGACTCTGACCGACAATGTATTCTTCCGCCGAGGACCAGGCGTTACCAAGCTCAAGGAAGTGCTCCTGGCCTACTCTCGTCGTAACCCGGAGGTCGGCTACTGCCAAGGGATGAACCTCATCGCCGCATCTCTCCTGCTTATCACGCCAACCGCTGAAGACGCCTTCTGGCTCCTCACCTCCATGATCGAGGTAATACTTCCTGAACACTACTACGACCATGGCTTGCTCGCCTCCCGGGCCGACCAAGTAGTACTGCGCCAATACATCGCCGAAATCCTGCCCAAGCTATCCGCCCACCTCGAGAGTCTGGGCGTCGAACTCGAGGCACTGACATTCCAATGGTTCCTCTCCGTCTTCACCGACTGCCTCTCAGCCGAAGCCCTCTACCGCGTCTGGGACGTAGTCCTCTGTCTGAATGTAACCAGCGCCGTCAACAACCCTCCCGCCACCGGCACAGCCAATGCCCCTTCTTCCACCTCCACAACCGATCCCACCGACTCAGACCCCAGCGCCAGCGGCAACGGAGGCGGCAGCACATTCCTATTCCAAGTAGCTCTCGCCCTCCTCAAACTCAACGAGCAACAACTCCTCATCACCTGCTCCACCCCAGCCGAACTCTACACCTACATCAACCACCAAATGACCAACCACGCCATCAGCATCGACGGCCTCATCCAAGCCAGCGAAGCCCTTCGGAACGTCGTCCGCCGCGAAGACGTGGTCGCCCGTCGCGCGGAAGCCCTCCGCGAGATGCAGGAATTCACGCGAGGCCGCCCAACCTCGTCAGGGGATAGTTAGAAGAAGAAAAGTCCCCAACTGAAAATCAGAATCATGTCCCGAAAGAGAAGAACAATAACAACAAGAAGAAATAAGCAAGCATGATATCAAATATGAAATTTTTTTCCCCCAAGATGTTGTCCTTATCTGCAACTCCATCATTGCATGATACCACATTGTGTTATTTTGTGATATGTATCTTTATCGATATATTTTTGCCGCCCCCATGCCAACTATGCCCTTATAGACCAGCACCACCAATTTCATTATTTTTCCCCGGTCATGATATGAATGAGTGTACTGAACTTCATTAGTGTAACAGATTAGTTCGATATTACTAGCGCAGCGTTGGATATTAAATGATACATTCCCTGACTTACAAAGGGGAATTGAACTTCTTCATCTTACTACTATCTACTGAGTATACACAGCTTACGATACCACTTCTGTAATTCTCCTTATAACTAATAGTAATACTCAGTAGTGACTAGTACTAGCAGTACTACTAAGTACTTTCAAGTAGTGGTGAGGGATACTATGAGAAAAGTAAGCATGGCACGTGTCCGACTGGATGAAATACTACTAGTATATATCGAGAGGTCTGTGAGCATTTTGAGTTTCAGACACTGCAATTTTGATCCCACTAGAACCGATACCATCATCAAATTACGACCAATCTTATCAATGGCAATATGCGAGAGGTTCACCACTATTGATTCCTACCTACCTCAAAACATAGCGCTATTGAATATGTTTCACTCTGATCATAGTACAAAACTCGCAATTGAAGGTGATGTGAATTGCTACCAGCCGAAGCAATTCTTTCGTTAAGTCATTCCAAGAAATATCAAAACAGTATAGCTGGTAGATCAGCAGAATATAGCTTATTTTTTATTTCCAAACATATAAAAAGAAAAGATAGATAAATAAATAATAACCCCCCTAAGCGCATGGGATCCCCAGCGGATCAATGAAATCAACTCGTTGGCATCATCTCAGTGTCTTCTTTTTGGACAAGCAATCATTATCAGTCGGGAAGGGGTATCATTGCCATGGTAGGTAAATATCGACAGGAAAGTAGAAGGGGCTTGTGCAAGGATCGATCAATCAGCAACCCGAAAATTCATGTGCATATAGTATAGAGCCCCGCCTCTTTACCTGGCCATTGGAAGGAGGTCGGGTATCCAAAACCGACTGTTGTCGAGGACCGTGGTCAGATCAATTTCAGGCATGGTGGGCCGAAGACCAAGGTCCATCACATCACGGGCGACCGCCTTGATCTGATGCATAATCGTTTGCGAAATCGCCCAGGTCCGTCCCAGAGTCTTGAAAACGCCAATGGTAAGCGTCAGCCGATCACGGCTGGGGTCGGGCATCTGCCCGGCCTTGACGGAGCACGCGGCCAACTGCACCATGGAGCTGAGAACCAGCGCACAAATGAAGAAGGGCGTGTGCTTCACAACTGGCATGCGAATAGACGCCAGCGAGGAGATCTCGCTGGCTGCCTTGACCGCCTTCATGGCATGCGCATGATGCGAGAAGGCGGGGATGCTCAGCGGCCCGTGATGGCCGCAAATAACCTCCGCTGCCACTGCGGGGGAAGACAGCAGATCAGATCGCGGGAAATGGAGGTAAATCGCAGAGCCGTTCACAATCATTGTTGCTTGGAACATCATCTCGTCGACGGACCCGTCCGAGCGCAGCAGTTCGGCCTTGTTCTCGGGCAGGTGGTGGAAGAAACTGGTAATCCGTGCGTCAATGGCCTCGACATGGTCCTGCTGGCCCTCAATCATGTCTTGGATGGCCACTACGCGTCCCAGGATGCGAACGGCCTCGATCCGGTAAGTGAAGGAAGAGAAGTCTCGCTCCTCATCTGCAAAGACACGCTCGTCGAATTGCGCAATAGTGGGTGCAGGCGGAGGTGGGAGGGCATCTTGGTAGATACGCTCTTCACAGGGCAATGGTACCTCGAGCGGCCCAGAATTGCACCGGAAAGCTGGCTGAACACCCAGTGCAGTGAGCATGCCTTCAATGATGAAGAGCTCCCACCAGGTGCGCCTCAAGCTCTCTTCCCGCACCGGGTCGCCATAGCTGAGCTGCGGCGCAGCGTCTCTTTTGTTCAATCCCAACTCGAAGGCCAGATTGACAGCCGTCGTCACGCACTCGCCCGCCTTCTGCCGCTCATTGCGGGAATGCAAGACAATGGCGAGGAGCACCAGGGCCTGCAATTTTTCAATGGACCCTTCCTGGTCCATCACGGACGACATGACCGTCGGCCGGTAGGTCTCACTGTTGGCGGCCGGAGTGAAGTGGGTCCCAATGAATTTGATGACATGCTCCAGGAACGCAGGCATGTGGTTGCGGTACAGGACACGGTGGGGCGGCAAGACCGGGTGGGAAGGATGGAAATAGGTGTAGAAGATGTCGATAAGATAGCCATCGCCTGCAATGGTAGAGATTGAGTCTGGTGTCATGGGGCTATTGGTGACGCCGACCGTCTGCGAGTGCGAGGAGCCGGAGTTATCGGTCAGAGCGGGACTGCCGGAGGGTAAGGAAGAGGAGGGCAGGGAAGTCGGCACGGGGGTGGTGGCGGCGGCTGCCACCGCATACGACATGGGCATGTTACTCGACAGAGTCCAGTCGGACGGCACGTTGAAGTATTGGGGCTCGAAGGAGGTCGACATGTCCGCGGGGAGTTGGTCGGGGGAGGATGGATTGGCTCGACGCTTCTTCGAGGGGCCCTTGTACCCGCGACGCGACGGGGTGTATTGACATTCAGAGCCTGTGGCGGAACAGCGACCGCAGACAGGAGTCTTTCCATCACATTTTAGGTGCTTGTGTCGACACAGCAGACAGGCAAGCAGCGACGGGCCCGAGTTTTTGGCAGAACCGGAGTCCTTGACGGAGATAAACGGGTTTTGTTGGAGACCTTGATCCATGTTGAAGGCGGGAACAATCACTAAATGGTTACTGAGAATAAATAAGCTGGTGGTCTCATTTGCGCAATTCCAGCACCATGCAGAGAAGAAGAAGAGAAAGAGAAAAAAGGAGAATCCGGCGGGGTTCAGAGTGACCAGAGACAAGTTGAAACCCAGCAGGAAAGAAGAGGAAAAGAAAGACGGCAAGCGGAAGTTCGGTACAAGCGGGGGTGACGGCGGAAAGGAAGGTTTTATGGAAGCACAAGAAAAAAGCGGGCGGGAAGTTGAGGTGGGGGGGAGGAGGAGCAGGAAGGAGAAGGAGATAAATTTTTTGTAAAAAAAGAACCAGGGATGGAAAGAAAGACGATGGATACAATCGGAGAAGGCCGAATGGATTGAATCTAGGACGATGACTGGCAGGAAGGGGGGGGGGGGGGGGATATTGAATTAACTAGTTAACTAGCACTAGACGCAACGGCGACACGAATCATGCAGGACGACCAGTGCAGTAGAAGGAGTAGAAGGCCAAAAAGAGAGAGACATACCACTTTTTCTTCCCTTTTCTTTATTAATTATTATCCTTAGTCTTGCCTTTTTGACAGGCCGAAGGATGATCGATCAGACCAGCCAGACGTTTCTTTAGCTCGAGTCTCCACCGACAGCCGCAGCGCGCCCAGCATCTCACCCATTCACGCTTCACGATTGGGAATGGCCGGTGAGGGTGGAGCTGCAGCGATCGGATGTGACACAGAGAGAAAGCTGCAACAAAGGAAAAAAAAGAGACTCGAACAGTTGTCAAGGGGTTGGGTAAGGAAAGAGGATGAAAAGATTTGGAATCGTCCGTCTTGAAAAGTTGGACAAGTAGTGGGTGGCAGAGTAAGTTAGTTAATCGATAGTTCAGAATAGATAGAGAGAGAGAGAGTTGGAGTTGGTAGTGGATGGATGGAATGGATGAATGATGGGGAAGTGATGATGCTGACTGAGCCGGTAACTTTACACACGTAACTATCAAGTACTGCATCTACACCAACGGGATACCAAGTAAATACCAACTATCTCATCTATCTATCTAACTAAGTACGTTAACAAGCAAGCAACAACCAATTCTCCTATCCTGTATCTCCTTCCCCCTCCTTTACAAAAATCTTGTTTACACTTTCCCTCAAACCAGGTAAGCTTTCGCCGTAAGAAAATCCCATCAACCATAGACCACTCTTCTATGGTTCGACCGACCGACACCCCCATCCCCAATCGGGTTTTCTCTATTCCCTCAGCTCCGTTCTCCATCTCCGACTACTACGTACTAAGTAAAGTAGTTAGTCTAACTATCAACGTGGCTTCCGCGCAATCACACACCCTTCCGTCATCGCACCAACAACACTCACTCACTCACTCCCCCTTCCTCTCTCTTTTCACTACTCAACAAAGAAAAACAAACAAAACCACCTTACTTCGTCCAATTACTTACCTCTCCGTCACAATCAACCAGTCCAATTCCTCCCTGAAGCGCTAAACAACAACAACCACCTAATACCTACTACCTACCCTCCACAATGATCACCGACGACGAGCTCCACCGTCTGGCCGTCTTCCTCGGCTCCTGCGCCATGATGATGATCGTTCTTTACCACTTCCTCGAGGTCAATCAGAAAGAAGATGACGAGGAGGTCGACGTCAAAAACAACAACAGCAACAACAACAAGCAACAACAATCTACGGGCGCGTCGTCGTCGGCTGGTTCGACCACTACTACTGCGTGAATTAGATTTAATTTGATTTGATTCGATTCGGACTTGGAATTGAAGTTGGGATTGCAGGGGATTGTCGCTATTATAATTGTCGGTTGATTGATTGATTGCTTGATGGGTTTGGCCTTGGAATGCGGTTTGGTTTCCGACTTTGCGCTACAAACTACTACATGTATGGTCTATTGTTCCTGGGCGTGTGCGCAAAGGAGACAGACAGACAAGGAAGGAGGAATTGGATGGTGGCGAAAGTGTGGTGGAACAGAACAGAAAAGTGGCGATGAATAGATACCCCGGTGGTCATCGTCAATACACTTACTCTTTTTTTAAATCTTCTTTTCAGTTGGATAAATTCGGATCCATTATCTATATGGTACATGGTTGATGTTGCTATGTTTTACAGGGGTGTAACATCTCGGGGATATCTGCATGCTGAATGCGAACAACAACACCGTGGCTCAAAAACACTCGCTGAATCCCGCTGTCAAATGCCATGCCATGTAATGCGAAACCGATGAAACTACAAGAATTAAAAAGTGAGGGTATCACAAATCGCGGTTCTCTTAAGTCACGGGCACCACCTCGTAGACGTCTTCGTCATTGTCCAGTCGCTCATTCCGCGCCGGGGTCGCGAGCTCACATCCGCCCGGATCCAGTCCGACTCCAATGTGCTCCTTCAGTCGCTGGACTGCCTTGAGGATCTCCCGGGACCTCTCCTGTTGAGTATTATTCCCATGCACTCGGTTAAAGGCACGGATGGAACTGCCGCTGGCAGGGATTATAAGTGAGTCTTCACTGTTGGGCTGTGCGGGGTCTGGGATGCCCAAGGGCCCAGGACTGCCGCTAGCATCGTTTCCCACTACATCGCACAAGTCAAAGTTAAAAATCAATCACTGCTCCGAACAATCAAACTAGTCGCAAGCTGAAAGAATGTTATCATCCAGCAGATGCTTTCTCACCAGTTACAGGCACCGTGGGCCCATCTCCGAGCTTCCATGCGATCGGTTCCAGATGCTCCTTCTTCACATGTTTGAACAAAATTGCGGCCGGCAGAGCGTCTGGGAACGTGCACCCCTTCCATGCGCAATTGAGCGTCTGAGACACGTGCACCTTGAAGACATGTTTCTTCAGTCCATCCAGATTGTGCATCTGCGCCTGGCAGTTCGTCCAATTACATGCAAATACCGGGTACGGAACTGCCGACGACATGGGAGGCTGCTGAGGCTGCTGGGGCTGCTGCCGCGCCTTGTTCGTGCTGCCCGGGGGCCGACCCGGTCTTCTTTTGCCCGTCATCGGTGTCACTCGCGTCGTTGTGGTAGGTACACTTGATCGTGACGGGGGCTGAGGGGTCGACGGTAGTTGCGGCCGCGTTTGTGGTAGCGGGGGCGCTGCCGAGGCAAATGGGCCGTTCTGTGGCTGAGGGGCAGCCTTGGAAGAACCAAGGTGCTGACCCAACACCGGCTGACCCTGCAGGGGCTGCGAAGGCGGATATTGTCGTGCCGGCTGTGACTGGGGAAGAGGTGGCGGTTGCCGGGCTTGTGGTGGAGGGGGAAGAGTGGTGTTGGTGGTGCTCGGAGGGACAGGCAGTGAAGGCGCGGGACGCGGCCGCGGCCGCGGCTGCGACTTTGGCGCTTCTGGGTCACGTGGTTCCAGCGCGTCGACCAGATCCCAGCGAAAGGTCGACAGGTCCGACGAAGTGTCCACATGAACAAAAACATCGCGCAAGCGAAGAAGGTGATGGTTCAGTGTCTCTTCTGTTGGGTGGCGGCCGGCTGCGATGAGGACGTCTCTGGCGATCGTCTTCGGGTCGTAGATCACCTTATCGACGGCATCCTCCTCACGTAGCGGTCTAACAATGTCGGCACGCGATTTCAAATGGTTTTTGGGTGCAGGGGAGCCGGTGCCTCCTATTTGTGGTGAATAATTGTAGATAGAGAGCCCTCCAGCCGGACGATCCTCAGCAGGCGCTGTTGCATAGCTGGGCAATGAGGGTCGCCCGGATGATCGTTTAGAGGTGGATGGGGGCGCTATCCGACGTCGCTTTGCATCATGACCAGGCTCACTACCATTTCCACCAGTATTTGTTTGCTGCATTGTAGTTTGCGAGGTTGTATTCGTCATCTGCGCAGGTGGATTAGGCGGAGGCGCTGAAGTCGACGGCTGGGAAGTCGGGACGGTCACCGGAGGAGCCGAGTTGGATGTCTGAGCTGGGGTCGTTGGAGTGGCGTGCGAACTCCTTTGAGGCGCTGTCATAGGTGAATAGGAAGGATATGTAGTGAATTGCGTCGGTGGCATGGGTGAAGGACGTGAAATGGGAGCTTGCGCCGGTGTAGGTGGCAGTAGTGGTGGGGCCGTATTCGACATCTGCAGTAGCAGGGGTGAAATGACAGCATTCGGGGGCTGGACTTGAGGCTGGCTTGTAGATACGGTACTAGACGATTGGGCAGGGGGTAGACTCGAGGGTACAGACCCTGACATCTGAGGTGGGGTCGGTCTAGACGGTGCTTGCGGGACTGAATGTGGCGTTGGATATGAAGCCGGCTGGTACCCTGGAGGGGGCGCTGGATTGGACTGAGGCGCCGGTTGAGACATTCGAGGAGGGGGCGGCCTGTACCCTGCTGGAGGGCCAGTCCTGTGTGTCTGCACCGGCTTCGGCAACTGATGCGCAAGTTTATATTCCTGCGAAGGAGGGGGCCTGGGTGATTTGGAGGGCAGCGACTTCGGACCAAAAGGAGCAGCGAAACGGGACGAGCTTTCACAATGAGAGCCTGGGGGTGGTGCCACAGTGGAAGCTTGGGTATACTGCGTTTGATGAGACCGAGGATTGGGAGGGTGATGTTGGTTTTCTGGGAATGAGGGAGGCCTCACGTCCCTCTCGTTTGAATACTGATATCCATGAGTACCGGCAGAGCCATTGTGGGCAGCTGTGTAAGACGAGGACGGGGGGACAGCAAAGTAGGGATTCGACTGATAGAATGCTGCATGGTCATCGACGCCTTGGGCTTCTGGGTCGTATCCATGGCGCAGGTAACTCTCCAGCCACTGCAAGTCTTCGCTTGACATCTTGCGCAGCTGGTGAGGCAGATGGATATCAAGTATGGTGCCAATTCTTCGCTGTCAGCATCATTTCCGACGTGCAAAACAGGAAAGGCGTGAAACTGTTCTAGAATTGTATCCCGAGCTGGCCTCGCTGTGACCGCAATCAACAGCCTAAAGCCTCACAGAGAAATCAAGCCAAATGGTCGGCGTGACGCGACCGCATCGGAAGAGGGATTGGCGGCGCGCATCAAAGAGGCTCGACGATGTAAATTCCCCACCGCCTCACGCGGGCGGTGAGTCGCGACAGGAGTTGTCTCCCACTGGCCAATCGGAGGCAGGATTAGCGTTAAGCGGAGTGTCACGTGACGCACACTTTTCAAGCTCGACTATTTATACTGCAACTTCCAACCTTTTCTGCAGTAAGCCAGACAAGATGTTCTTTGTCCCACAACCAACAGGCGCAGTCGTCTGACTTGATCGCCAACACAGTCATCTCTGTATTCTTCGCAATTCTGAGCCAGGAATCATGAGAACCGCCAATGCTTCACCCTCGCAATTCATGTTTCGTTGCAGAGAAGACAGCATTGGCTACTCATACCATGAGCTTCAAACACCCTACGGCAAGATCCTTGACGACTCCCAACCAACCTAGTTTACATCTCAAACGCGCCAGATTATCTCCTCATCAATCCATTACCATGGTTGAAGAGGTATACGGCTGGCGCAGAAGGAATTGCAGATATGCATTTACATCTAGACAAAAGTCTAGATCGCGTTCTGCCTCGCTTGCAGACCCGCACTGAGCATTTCGCAAGGACGCTGCGGGTTTGAGAGTGAGATACATGCTGTTGTAGATATATAAATTTTATATGTGATTGTTTGAATATAATGATCTTTGATTGAGATTTGTCTATTGTTGAGTGGTTGAGGTGTTCTGTAGCCTGTCTTTTTGTCTGGTACTGTTGTGAGCTTAAACATCAGACGGATGTAAGTCGCGAAGTGGATGGCTTTGCGGCAGTGATGTTGAGGACTCAGGTGTGCCAGTTGAGTACTAGATACTGCTTAGTACCGATTGCTTGACGGAGAGACTTGTTTACTCTGGCGTCGTATAAAGTTCCTTGAACGTGTATAGTCACTAAAATGTCTCGAGATGGTAAGAAATCTTGTAAGACTACAGATACTCCTCTGCACCAACAGTCATACCACTTCCCAGTCGAAAAACACGCTAGACGTTATTACACTGGGATACTACCCCAGAAGTAAATATAAATACCTAAGAATATGAGTACCAGCCGCAGTCATCATATCATACAAACAAACAGAAAGAAAGAAGAAAGTCATATGTCCCGCTCAATTGGCCGAAAACCAGACAATCGTAAACCGTTCCTCCACCTCATAATCACCACGAAAAAGACAAATAAGATACACCCATCACCAATACCCACCAACTACCTACTTACTGACTATGCCCAACACACCTCCCCCAAGCAGGCAACCCACACCCCATCCCCACAAACAACCACACCAAGAACACGACCACAACAGCCAACAAAACCATCAACTTAACATTCTTCCACCACATCCGTCTCCTCAACCCACGACTCCTAATGCGAAAATCGTGAGCACTGCCACCCAACCGATCCGTCTTATCCACCAGCAAATCGATCCGTTCACCTCTCTCCAACACCCGTTCAATATTCTCCGTCATGATGTTCCTCACGCTATCGATCTCCCGCTTTGCCGAAGCCAGCGAATCCGCCGGCGGGGCCGTATTGTACGTCTGCAGCAGCGAGCGGAGCTCATTGTTGAACGCGGCACAGCCGTAAGCCGGAAGAGCAGAGAAGTCCGTGCTGGAGGGCGAGTAGGTGGTGAGGAACTTGCGCTTGATTTCGAGGAGGAAGGCGAAGGGAATGCGGCGGCCTTGTTCGGCGGTTGCGACGACGATGTAGCTGAGGGGTGCGTAGGAGTTGGGTTCGCCCTGGCGGGGGTCATCGGGGGTGCTGGGTGTTGTGGGTGAGTCGGCGATGTAGTGCACGAAGAGACGCTCGTGGGTGTAGGTGAGCTTTTGCGGTTGGTCGTGGCTGATCTTGGGGAGGATGATGGAGGCGAGGGACGAGGCGGCGCTCGAGGATGTGCCTGGGGAAGAGTGTTCGGCGAGGATGGTTGTGCGGTGGGCGATGCAGGAGCTGTATATTAGGATGGGTGGTTAGTTGGGGATGATACTATTGAGAGAGTGTAGGTTGGGGAGTCAAGTAGATGTCGCGGTGTGTTGCTGTTTCAGCTGCTGGTTGGGTAACGTACTAG